GTAGAGAAAGATACGGGCATTCTCACTGGCACATTGAAATTAATGAGCCATTACAAATAGACCTTCCAAAGAATTTCAATGCAAAAATACAAAAAAATGTTAGCATGGTATTTACTTGAGCAAGATTTGAGCAGCTGGACACAATGATTAGTTATGGAAGATTTAAACAAATCCCTTTTATATAACACACTTGTATTTGCAGAGCTCTAGAGATGGAAGAAATAACACATCCATTATTCCAATGTTAAGTGTATAAACAATGGAGAGATAAGTATCTTGGATTGTACAATAGACCAGTGACCTATTGTGATCCTTATATTAAAAAAAAACCATATTCCCTATGTAGTCAGAATTCAAAAACAACATATAATAGAGGCATTTATTTGAACAAAACTGTTCTTGGCAATTCTATGGGCCAAATCTCTCCACAGCTTCCAATCTTGCCCTGCTTCTTTAAGTTGTTCCACACTCTGGCTCTGGCTGGTGTCAGCTTTCATGTTGTCCAGACAGTGTGTTCTTTGATGACCTGGTTTCTTTTTACTGCTAACATGGTACAGAAATATAATTTGCATTCTTTATTCTTTCTTTTTAACTTTTTATTTTTATGTACAGTCTTGTTAATGTTCTGTATGTTATATCCTGTATCTTGATATGGTTTGAGTGATTAACAATATACTATTCTAATATGTTCATGTGTAGCAAGTTGGATTTATTAAAATCTAGTATTTTAGACTTGATCTGTCCTCAAATATAGCATAGCATTCTTCATTGCATTTTCAGATCAGTGATGCAATTGTTTCAGAGGCTCTGAGTGATAAAAGTGGATTTCCTTTTTTCCACCGGATCCTCCCCCCAAAAGGGATCACATATCCAGCAATTGTCCAATTGCTCCTCCATTTCAGATGGACCTTGATTGGTCTTTTTATTTCAGACACAGAGGAGGGAGAGAATTTCATGAGGACTTTTACTGCTATGCTTGTCAGGAATGGAATTTGTGTGGTTATATCACAACGATTCACAGCAACTGGACATACAACACCCCTCATGGATGCCATCTCTAAGTGGAGACAAGTCAATGTCTTTGTGAACTACATAGAACACGTTAACGTTTGGGATAGAATTCTTACTTTCCAGTTAACATTTGAAGGTGTGCCAGGACCCATTGAAGGGAAAGTTTGGATCACGGAAAGCATTGAGTATTTGGTTTTGGAACGGTTGGACCTTTACAAATATGTCCATAGCATCTGGAGCTTTGCCTTTCAGGAAAACAAAAGGCCAGAAGGTGATCCCCTTGGAACCAAACTCTTTGTGAAATTGGAAAATCGGTATTTTCATTGTTCTTTTTCAAAGCACATTTTTGCAGTCAAAGGCCAGAAAAGATGCACCCAGAAAGCACCACTGGAACCTGAAGAGGAAAGAAGAAGGATATGGATCCCTTTTCACCTCCATCTGCACAGTGTTATTAAGACTCTGGCCTATGCCTTGAAAGCTGCATATTCTTCCAGATCAAGGAGGAGAAGCAAGAATGGCAAAGAGAAGCTGGAGGCTCAGAGTCTGAAGCCATGGCAGGTATGTAGGCCCTACCACAATCCATGAAACTCCAAGGGAGAGGGATAGGAACCTTCTCAATCCCCTTGGGTTACAAAAGACCAACTTAACCACTCAGGGAATAAAGTTGTGGAGATCGGGGACAAGAGACTTTGGCTGAATCCTGGCAAGACCAAATGGCTTCAGTTGCATGGATCGTCAGGATCCATTAATTTAGCAATATTAGTTCTGGATGGGTTTGCACTATCCCTGAAAGACCTGGTCCACAACTTTGGGGTTCTCCTGAACTTGCAACTCCTGCTCAAAGAGCAGGTGGCAGTCATAGCTAGAATAGCCTTTGTACAACTTTGTGCTGTGTACCAGTTGCACCTTTTCCTGAATCAGGAGTCCCTGTGCTTAGTCAATCAAGCTCTTGTCATCTCCCTCTTGAACTATTGCAAAGCGCTCTACATGGGGCTATGCCTGAAGAGAATTTATAAGCTATAACTAATGATTAGGGGACTGGAGGCTAAAGCATATAAGGAACGGCTGCTGGAATTGGGTATGTCTAGTTTAATGAAGAAAAGGACGAGGGGGGACATGATAGCAGTTCCAATATCTCAGGGGCTGCCACAAAGAAGAGGGAGTCAAGCTATTCTCCAAAGCACCTGAAGGCAGGACAAGAAGCAACAGATTGAAACTAATCAAGGAGAGAAGCAACCAAGAACTAAGAAGAAATTTCCTGACAGTTAGAACAATTAATCAGTGGAACAATCTGCCTCCAGAAGTTGTGAATGCTCCAGCACTGGAAGTTTTAGAGAAGAGACTGGACAATCATTTGTCTGAAATGGTATAGGGTGCAGGGAGTTGGACTAGATGACCTCCAAGGTCCCCTCCAACTATTATTATTATTATTATTATTATTATTATTATTATTATTATTATTATTATTATTATTATTATTATTATCATCATCATCATCATCATCATCATCATTATCATTATCATTATGCATAAAGCAATTGTGTGGGCAGTTCCTGGTGTCCCTGGGGGGCCCATTACCCCACTGCTCCGTGAACTGCAATGGCTAAAATGTTCCCTTTAATAGACAAATTCGGTCAATTACAGTATATGTTGTCAGTACACATTTTTCAATATATGATTGACCAATTTATCTGAGTCCTTTTTTTCACTTTTGAAGATAGTGGTAACACCTGGTTTCCCAACTCACATATGTTCAAGTTAGACATCTGTAGAGGAAAGATTTGAATGTGAAAAGGGATAAGAAACCAAATATTCTGTTTTTAAAATTCCTGGATGTTTCTATTCTAGTTCCATCCATTTCTGGAGAAGAATGAGTTTTGCAATATTTCCCATAGGAAATTGTATTTGGACCAAAATGGAGGTGTAGCAACAGATCTGAATGTCATAAGCTGGGTGCTTCTTCCCAGGTGGGATCCTGTTGACAAGCAAATGGGGAGCTTTGAAAGGCAGAAATTTATTATCAATAAAGATATTCTGTCATGGCTAAAGTTGTACAACAAGGTGAGAGAAATATTGGTGTTTCTATGTATCTTAACTGGAAGACTATTTTAAACTACTTTCAAAGGGGAGTAGCTTTGCAATGGTACTTTATTGCAATGAGAAATCCTAAAGCAAAAGGGGTGAACTAAAAGAAGAAATTGTCAGAAATTGTATCTCTAGCAACTATTTGGAACTAGTTAGAGAAATCATACTTATCTAAGTGAAGGCCAATGTTCATTTTGACCTTTATTTTCCGTGGATGGTGAGTCCTAACATACTTTCTTTGGCATTGCTTGTTTTTCTGTTTAGACTCTGCCTCAGTCCAAATGCGTGGAATATTGTCATCCTGGATTTGTTAAGCGGAAGCGAGAAGGAGAGTCAGTTTGCTGCTATGACTGTGTTCCTTGTCTGGAAGGGACCATCTCCATTCTGGAGGGTGGGTGACACCAAAGAAAAGGGTTGACATTGTGGAAGTGGATTCATCCAGAGAATTTTTCATGGGAGTGAAACAGCTTAGGTCTTTTCTAGTGCATTGTTTATAAGTCTCAATAAAAACAATTGTACTTTTTTTTACAATATTCATCTTCAAAATGCTTCTTCTTCTTCTTCTTCTTCTTCTTCTTCTTCTTCTTCTTCTTCTTCTTCTTCTTCTTCTTCTTCTTCTTCTTCTTCTTCTTCTTCTTCTTCTTCTTCTTCTTCTTCTTCTTCTTCTTCTTCTTCTTCTTCTTCTTCTTCTTCTTCTTCTTCTTCTTCTTCTTCTTCTTCTTCTCCTCCTCTTCCTCCTCCTCCTCCTCCTCCTCCTCCTCGTCCTCGTCCTCGTCCTCGTCCTCGTCCTCCTTCTCCTCCTCCTCCTCCTCCTCCTCATTCTTCTCCTTCTCCTCCTACTCCTTCTCCTCCTTTGCAAAATTTCCTATGTAACATGAAGAAGAGCAAAACAAATAAGGAATTGGGTAGAGATAAGTGGGTATGGCATATTGGGTAATCTTTACTACTGCCAGATAATATATGTCCTCTTTTTTTCTTTCTTTTTTTTAGTTTGGATGTTTCTCTCTCTATTTTGACTTCTAGGAACATCAGATTTCTTTGAAACTTGGGGAATTATCTTAGGATAATTATTGCAAGGATCATTGCAATGTATTCTGTATGGGCATCCCCATGAGAATCACTAGGAAGGCATCACTGGTGCACAATGTGGTGCTATGGACAGTTATTATGCACCCATATTACTATTGATCCCATTAGCTATTCCAGATTATTTTCATGACTAAAACTTTTTCTGACAGATTGCTAGATTTCACAAGATACACATCACCTGTGTCCATTAGATGAGTTCCTGAGCCATGGTGGTGCAGTAGTTAGAATGCAGTATTTCAGGGTAACTCTGCCCATTGTCAGGAGTTTGAGTCTGACTGGTTCAAGGTTGACCCAACCTTCCATGCTTTCAAGGTCAGTAAAATGAGGACCCAGATTGTTGGGGGCAATATGCTGAAAACTGCTTAGAGAGTGCGGTTAAAGGACTATGAAGTGGTATATGATTCTAAGTGCTATCACAAAAGCTATTACATTAAGAAATGCTGTCCAGCAGGACTCAGGCAGAATATCTAGAAAGATTGATTCATTATTAACTTCTAATATTGTAAGTTCCCATGGAGGTTATGCACATTTGGCAGGTTATATAAAGAGGAAGAGAGATAAAGATAGATAGATAGATAGATAGATAGATAGATAGATAGACAGACAGACAGACAGACAGACAGACAGACAGACAGACAGACAGACAGACAGACAGACAGACAAATTATGTACTTCAGAATTTTGTTTTTACTTCAACTTTTAAAAAATGCTTCTTAGAAAATGCTCATGCTATTAGCTGTTGTCCCAAGAATACATTTCTTGAAATTTAAAAGGACAGAATATTGAAGAAATGTTGCTTTTTTCTTTTCTCAGATATGGAAAAATGCACCAAGTGTCCCAATGACAAATATCCAAATGAGGGCCGAGTCCAATGTATCCCCAAAGTTATATCCTTCCTGTCTTATGAAGAATATCTGGGGATCATCCTGGTCTCTTTTGCCCTATTCTTGTTCCTAACTACAGGATTTGTGTTAAACATGTTCCTTCAATACCAAGAAACTCCCATTGTGAAAGCCAACAACCAAGACCTCTCTTACATACTCCTGTTCTCTCTCCTGCTTTGCTTCTTGTCTCCTTTTCTGTTCATTGGTCAACCAAGGAAAGCCACCTGCCTTCTCCAACAAATGGTTTTCAGCATCACCTTCTCAGTTGCTATTTCTTCCCTCCTGGCTAAAACAATCACAGTGGTACTGGCTTTCCTGGCCACCAAACCAGGAAACCGGGTAAAGAGGTGGTTGGGGAAGAGCTTGGCCAACTCCATTATCCTTTCTTGTACTGTTGTACAAGTTATCATCTGTTCCATCTGGCTGGGAGTTTCTCCACCGTTCCCTGACTCTGACCTCCACTCCCAGCCTGGCGTTATCAACTTGCAATGCAATGAAGGCTCTGTTGTCTTGTTCTATATCACCCTCAGCTACCTGGGTTTCCTGGCTGCAATCTGTTTCACAGTGGCTTTCCTGGCCAGAAATCTCCCTGGGGCCTTCAATGAAGCCAAACTGATCACTTTCAGCATGTTGGTTTTTTTCAGTGTTTGGGTGAGTTTTGTGCCCACCTACCAGAGCACCAAAGGAAAATACATGGTGGCTGTGCAAGTCTTCTCCATCCTGGCCTCCAATGCTGGTCTGCTGGGCTGCATATTCATCCCAAAGTGCTACATTATCATTCTGAGGCCAGACCTGAATACAAGGGAGCAACTTACAATAAGAAGAAATGAAGAAATGTGAGACAGAAAAATTTAAAAACTTAGCATTTTCCAATAGTCCACACCTAGAAAATGATCCAAGCTGCTCTCCATACAAAATAGGGATAATGATTTTATTTGAAATAATTAAAGGGTATTGAGAAGATAAGGTCCCCAACCTTGTACAGTAACATTCCAAGATGTCCACTGAGCATTTTTGAATCTTTAAGGCAGAATATCTGTCCAGTGCCCTTAAACTACCTGAGTCCAAGAAATGACATATCCAGTTTTTTCAAACATGATTCTTGTGTAATGGTAATCTTGTTCATGTGCCAGAAATATATGGGGTGGGGGTGGGGTTGAAGAGTTAAAAGAATATGCTTTATCTACAAATTGTATAAAAGAAGCAGAAAAGGTCTGAATGTCACTGAAGTGGTAATAATAATTTGTTCTTTCAAAACAGAGTTGACCCGAAAAAGAATGAAAAGGCGATATTAACAGTATGCAATAATGTGAGCTGCCTTTTTCACAGAAAAAGAAAAGTAAAATTAATTTTAAAATGGTGGTTGTTATGAAGAATCAAGTGATTTCTACTCTTGCAGATAGGAACTTGGGCATAGGGAATGCTTACCTTCTCATTAGTTTTGTCATAGCTGTCATTCTGCTGCTGGCTTCACATTGCATCTTTCACCAGATTGACATCAGAAACAGTGGGAGAGGGAGAGATTGGAATGTGAGGGGTTGGGGGTTGGGTTTGAAGCTGAGCTGGCCTGTGAGGAACACCAATCAAGCATAAGGTCAGCAAAAGGAATGTGAAATGGGAAAGGTTCAAACGCAGGGTCCCTTTCCAAAACAACCTGAGAACTTTTAATTGGATGTTGACTGATAACAGAGGGGTGGACAGGGAAAAAGGAAATGTTAATTGCATCATTTTCATGCCAAGCCAACAGATTCTCAGACTGCTCTAATCTGTAACCGCTTAGTTCTCAATAAAGTATACTCTTGAAAAAGAAATTAACCAGGAGTCTTTCTTTGTTAATTAAACAAATGGGATGGATGACAACTTTCATTTCATTTCAACCTACTGACACCTATAACATGGGAAGTATGGTATAGAATGTTATGGACATACATGTGGGATTTTGTGGGTGACCAACATGGTGGTGTTCTGAGAGGAGATTTCAGTCTCAGTCCCTTCAAGGACATTGAAAAGGTCCTTCTGCCTTCCACAACTGTAGTTAGGAACATTCACCTCCCCAGCCAAGAGAAGGTCCAGCACAACATCCCAAGTCATTCTGAAGTTCCAATAATTGTCACTGAGATTGCAACCCAGTTGGATGTTGGGAAAAGTTGGAGATCCTGGTTGATTTCAGATGGCCTAAAGAAATGAGAGGATTTTCCAGTAGTGGGTGGATCCTCTTCTGGGAATATAGGAGCATCATGCATTCATCCTTCATTTAGTGCATGTAAGACGTTTCATTTCTGCTAGTATTTTTTTCTCTGTATGGTAGTCCTTTGAGTTTGAAGAACTGTTGTGCACTTCATCTGGGTTGGCTCTGCAGGCCCAGCCTGGAGGTTCAGAATCTACAAAAGGAGGGCACTAAAAGACCATTGTTATATTAACTGTGGGTGTTATTCTGTGATGCCATGCATAGTTTTCTATCAGCTTTGGGTGGTGCTGGTCTTCAAAGCCATCAGAGATTGCATAGCACAGGGCTTGCCAGATGTTCTGTTAGCAGCTGTGGCTTCTAGTTCCCTTGGCTGGATGTCACAGTGACAATAGAGTTTCTTTCACAAAGTCTTTCTAGCTCTTGCATGGTTGATGCTCAGGTGTCTACCCAAACTCCAATATACAATAGAGAAAATGGCAAGATATTAGGTAACCATCCATTCTGATAACAGGTCCCCCCATACACACACTATTTCATTTGGGCTGTGATAATCTAACAATGAGCAGATTAGAACTTAATTCTGGAAGAGATACTTTTACTTTTGCTAAGTGGCTTCTTTGACCAGCAGAAAATTCAAATCACCAGGTAATTCAGGCAAAAAAAAAAAT